ATAGGATAGTATAAAGTATAATCAAATTATAACCTTTTGGGTTCCAGCATGTGCGAGGCATTGGGCCAGACCGTCCAATCTTTTGGAACTGGTCTGGTTCTCTGCCAGGTTCATTTCTCTCTAACCCAACTGTGTATAGCATGAGTCCAAGGCCGTCCAATCTTATGGATATGCCTTGCCCTCAGCAAGGATTATTCCCTCATAATAAAACAAGAGGGGGGCTGAGTCGTCCAATCTTATGGACTTGCTCAGATCCCCTCGATTAGAAACAAAAGAAACAGAACAAACCTTAATCAAACATGGCAACCAAACCCTCCAATCTTATGGTACATCTTTGGCCCCTGAAAAGTCAACCACAGTCAAACCCCGCAATTAAGAGCAGTCAGACCGTCCAATCTTATGGAACTGGTTTGACTCTCCAGACAATTCAAAAATAAACACAGCGGTCAGACCGTCCAATCTTATGGAGCTGGTCTGACCCTTCATGCAATTCAAAAATGAACAGAGCGGTCAGGTCGTCCAATCTTATGGAACTGGTCTGACCYCATAGGACCCATTCAGGCTCAGGACAAACCACCTTTCACCCACCCTTCCCCCAGATGCAGCCCCTTGTGTTCACAATCTGCCTTCAAGCGATCAACAAAAAACTGAAACTGAGATTGCGCACACATTCCTTTACTTAATCTGGGTTGTGTCCTGTCAGTCAAACCAAAGTCAAAATATGGGGTGCATGCAGCATACTCAGTCAACGCATAGAAAAACGTACAGATAGGGGTTATAATTGGGTATATAGAGGAGAGCAGCGATTACCTTTCAATTCCCTGCCTCCAGAGCCTCGCCTAGGCTCTGGCAGAGCTCCCGCAATCGGTGGGGCGAACCTCCCACAGAGGCCTTGGCGCGGATTACGGGTTGCAATCCCGCCTGCCGCCTTCCTCTCAGAACCAAATAGACTAGAATTAGAATAAGAAGGGCAGAAGTAGAAAGGTTTAGTCTCTCAGATCCAAG